CGATTCCAGCACGAGGCATTGGTTTTGTACTGCTGTTCAACAACTCGTACTTTCATTTCAGCGGACTCTTTAAAAATAGTTCCATAACATTATTCTGATCACAACAATGTGCCTCGTTGGCTCAGGGGCAGAGCGTCTGTCTCGTAAACAGAAGGTCGCTGGTTCGATTCCAGCACGAGGCACTGGTTTTGTACTGCTGTTCAACAACTCGTACTTTCATTTCAGCGGACTCTTTAAAAATAGCTCCATAACTTTATTCTGATCACAACAATGTGCCTCGTTGGCTCAGGGGCAGAGCGTCTGTCTAGTAAACAGAAGGTCGCTGGTTCGATTCCAGCACGAGGCATTGGTTTTGTACTGCTGTCCAGAAACTCGTACTTTCATTTCAGCGGACTCTTTAAAAATAGTTCCATAACATTATTCTGATCACAACAATGTGCCTCGTTGGCTCAGGGGCAGAGCGTCTGTCTCGTAAACAGAAGGTCGCTGGTTCGATTCCAGCACGAGGCACTGGTTTTGTACTGCTGTTCAACAACTCGTACTTTCACTTCAGCGGACTCTTTAAAAATAGCTCCATAACTTTATTCTGATCACAACAATGTGCCTCGTTGGCTCAGGGGGAGAGCGTCTGTCTTGTAAACAGAAGGCCGCTGGTTCGATTTCAGCACGAGACATTGGTTTTGTACTGCTGTCCAGAAACTCGTACTTTCACTTCAGCGGACTCTTTAAAAATAGTTCCATAACTTTATTCTGATTAGAATATCGTGCCTCGTTGGCTCAGGGGCAGAGCGTCTGTCTCGTAAACAGAAGGCCGCTGGTTCGATTTCAGCACGAGACATTGGTTTTGTACTGCTGTCCAGAAACTCGTACTTTCACTTCAGCGGACTCTTTAAAAATAGTTCCATAACTTTATTCTGATTAGAATATCGTGCCTCGTTGGCTCAGGGGCAGAGCGTCTGTCTCGTAAACAGAAGGTCGCTGGTTCGATTCCAGCACGAGGCACTGGTTTTGTACTGCTGTTCAACAACTCGTACTTTCATTTCAGCGGACTCTTTAAAATAGCTCCATAACTTTATTCTGATCACAACAATGTGCCTAGTTGGCTCAGGGGCGGAGCGTCTGTCTTGTAAACAGAAGGTCGCTGGTTCGATTCCAGCACGAGGCATTGGTTTTTGTACTGCTGTCCAGAAACTCGTACTTTCATTTCAGCGGACTCTTTAAAAATAGTTCCATAACATTATTCTGATCACAACAATGTGCCTCGTTGGCTCAGGGGCAGAGCGTCTGTCTCGTAAACAGAAGGTCGCTGGTTCGATTCCAGCACGAGGCACTGGTTTTGTACTGCTGTTCAACAACTCGTACTTTCACTTCAGCGGACTCTTTAAAAATAGCTCCATAACTTTATTCTGATCACAACAATGTGCCTAGTTGGCTCAGGGGCGGAGCGTCTGTCTTGTAAACAGAAGGCCGCTGGTTCGATTTCAGCACGAGACATTGGTTTTGTACTGCTGTCCAGAAACTCGTACTTTCACTTCAGCGGACTCTTTAAAAATAGTTCCATAACTTTATTCTGATTAGAATATCGTGCCTCGTTGGCTCAGGGGCAGAGCGTCTGTCTCGTAAACAGAAGGCCGCTGGTTCGATTTCAGCACGAGACATTGGTTTTGTACTGCTGTCCAGAAACTCGTACTTTCACTTCAGCGGACTCTTTAAAATAGTTCCATAACTTTATTCTGATTAGAATATCGTGCCTCGTTGGCTCAGGGGCAGAGCGTCTGTCTCGTAAACAGAAGGTCGCTGGTTCGATTCCAGCACGAGGCACTGGTTTTGTACTGCTGTTCAACAACTCGTACTTTCATTTCAGCGGACTCTTTAAAAATAGCTCCATAACTTTATTCTGATCACAACAATGTGCCTCGTTGGCTCAGGGGCAGAGCGTCTGTCTAGTAAACAGAAGGTCGCTGGTTCGATTCCAGCACGAGGCATTGGTTTTGTACTGCTGTCCAGAAACTCGTACTTTCATTTCAGCGGACTCTTTAAAAATAGTTCCATAACATTATTCTGATCACAACAATGTGCCTCGTTGGCTCAGGGGCAGAGCGTCTGTCTCGTAAACAGAAGGTCGCTGGTTCGATTCCAGCACGAGGCACTGGTTTTGTACTGCTGTTCAACAACTCGTACTTTCATTTCAGCGGACTCTTTAAAAATAGTTCCATAACTTTATTCTGATCACAACAATGTGCCTCGTTGGCTCAGGGGCAGAGCGTCTGTCTCGTAAACAGAAGGTCGCTGGTTCGATTCCAGCACGAGGCACTGGTTTTGTACTGCTGTTCAACAACTCGTACTTTCATTTCAGCGGACTCTTTAAAAATAGCTCCATAACTTTATTCTGATCACAACAATGTGCCTCGTTGGCTCAGGGGCAGAGCGTCTGTCTTGTAAACAGAAGGTCGCTGGTTCGATTCCAGCACGAGGCATTGGTTTTGTACTGCTGTCCAGAAACTCGTACTTTCATTTCAGCGGACTCTTTAAAAATAGTTCCATAACATTATTCTGATCACAACAATGTGCCTCGTTGGCTCAGGGGCAGAGCGTCTGTCTCGTAAACAGAAGGTCGCTGGTTCGATTCCAGCACGAGGCACTGGTTTTGTACTGCTGTTCAACAACTCGTACTTTCATTTCAGCGGACTCTTTAAAAATAGCTCCATAACTTTATTCTGATCACAACAATGTGCCTAGTTGGCTCAGGGGCGGAGCGTCTGTCTTGTAAACAGAAGGTCGCTGGTTCGATTTCAGCACGAGACATTGGTTTTGTACTGCTGTCCAGAAACTCGTACTTTCACTTCAGCGGACTCTTTAAAAATAGTTCCATAACTTTATTCTGATCACAATATCGTGCCTCGTTGGCTCAGGGGCAGAGCGTCTGTCTCGTAAACAGAAGGTCGCTGGTTCGATTCCAGCACGAGGCACTGGTTTTGTACTGCTGTTCAACAACTCGTACTTTCACTTCAGCGGACTCTTTAAAAATAGCTCCATAACTTTATTCTGATCACAACAATGTGCCTCGTTGGCTCAGGGGCAGAGCGTCTGTCTTGTAAACAGAAGGTCGCTGGTTCGATTCCAGCACGAGACATTGGTTTTGTACTGCTGTTCAGACAACTCGTACTTTCATTTCAGCGGACTCTTTAAAAATAGTTCCATAACTTTATTCTGATCACAACTATCGTGCCTCGTTGGCTCAGGGGCAGAGCGTCTGTCTCGTAAACAGAAGGTCGCTGGTTCGATTTCCAGCACGAGACATTGGTTTTGTACTGCTGTCCAGAAACTCGTACTTTCACTTCAGCGGACTCTTTAAAAATAGTTCCATAACTTTATTCTGATCAGCAATATCGTGCCTCGTTGGCTCAGGGGCAGAGCGTCTGTCTCGTAAACAGAAGGTCGCTGGTTCGATTCCAGCACGAGGCACTGGTTTTGTACTGCTGTTCAACAACTCGTACTTTCATTTCAGCGGACTCTTTAAAAATAGCTCCATAACTTTATTCTGATCACAACAATGTGCCTCGTTGGCTCAGGGGCAGAGCGTCTGTCTCGTAAACAGAAGGTCGCTGGTTCGATTCCAGCACGAGACATTGGTTTTGTACTGCTGTTCAACAACTCGTACTTTCATTTCAGCGGACTCTTTAAAAATAGTTCCATAACATTATTCTGATCACAACAATGTGCCTCGTTGGCTCAGGGGCAGAGCGTCTGTCTCGTAAACAGAAGGTCGCTGGTTCGATTCCAGCACGAGGCACTGGTTTTGTACTGCTGTTCAACAACTCGTACTTTCATTTCAGCGGACTCTTTAAAAATAGCTCCATAACTTTATTCTGATCACAACAATGTGCCTCGTTGGCTCAGGGGCAGAGCGTCTGTCTGTAAACAGAAGGTCGCTGGTTCGATTTCAGCACGAGACATTGGTTTTGTACTGCTGTCCAGAAACTCGTACTTTCATTTCAGCGGACTCTTTAAAAATAGTTCCATAACTTTATTCTGATCAGAATATCGTGCCTCGTTGGCTCAGGGGCAGAGCGTCTGTCTCGTAAACAGAAGGTCGCTGGTTCGATTTCACCACGAGGCATTGGTTTTGTAATGCTGTTCAAAAATTGGTACTTTGATTTCACCGGACTTTTTGAAAATATCTCCAGAAATTCATACTGGTTTGAAAACCGTTTCTCTGGAATTCAACAGGTAAAATAAGTTGAGTACCCATCTGCAACCAAGTTGGTCCTTGGCCGACTCACGTGCCCGTGCGTGAGGTGGACACGTGGACTGCTGTTGCGATACTTCTCTACATGTTCATATACCCGGAAAACCGATGGTTATCGCGTCATCGAACGTGTACGCCTCACGCGCTGTCACGTGAATTTACCAAAGGCCACTGTCGAATTCAACTTGTTTTACCTGCTGCATGCAGAGAAAAGGTCTTTTTAGGACGTAAGCACAGCGTTGGAATCAGAAGCGATTATGCTATCGAATGATTACTAATCGTCCAAAGAAAGAGCTCTGTGCGGCAAAAAAATATGCTCACCTGAGGAATAATTTCTTGTGGATTTTACAGCATTATAAAATGGCGAATAATCGGCAAAGTACCTTGAAGTTCTAGCTTTCGAATGATCACTTACACTCCTATGAGAAGTTCCTCTCCAGCAAATGAAGTCAGTTTTTCATTTGTCCACTTATGACCACAAGGGACCGTCGTATACTATAGAAATGCGTTTTCGAATTCGACTTTTACAACATCGTCGAAAGAAATACAAAAAAAGTTGTACATGCGTTGTTATCCCATGGATCTACGTTTGGTTTCAAGAAAGCTTCTGTGCTACAATATTTAAGTATATAGAAGAACTTCAGCGCTAATCGAAATCAGGAATCAACGTCAAGAAACCTGCTATGAAGCTTCGCGGGAGGAATCAAACCATCAACCTTCTTTTCGATGGCCGGCATCGCTAGCCACTCGGCTCTGCGAACTGCTTGCCGCGTCCGGAAAGTGTCGGAGCTAGCGGTGTGTCCCTGTCCTGTTCAATGGGTTAATTTTAGTCGAATTTTCTAGACAAATGCTGTTAGATTAATTCCTTGGGAACCGCGTTGTTCTTCTGCGCAGCAATAGCGGAATATCGCTGCAAACGCAGCGCGTTACAATACCCAATGTGATAGTTTTTGAACTAAATTTAGATTCTTATCGCCACTGAACAAGGTTTGATCGGCAGTAAATGGCTATGTATGATAGAAGACTTCATTAAGCTATTTTTGGTTAGAATCCGCCAATAAAAACTGCATCATAATAATTGTTCGTCAACAGTGATACCGCTCATTGTAGTGGCGGAGCCACTTCAACGACAGTTCGAAGCAATTTCTTATTATTAATGAATTATAAAAGTTGAAACTTCCATTGAGTTGTAGAGGACGCTTTGTCCATTGTCTTATGGGTAATACTTTTTGAGCACTTTCTTTGATCCATCATCACAGTCTTTTTTCTATTGTGCGTATCCCAGTACTTCTAGCATTCAATTTGTTTTTCTTCTTCTTATTAAACGGCATAGAATACTCGTTGAGGACTCTCCTTGCAATTTCGAGGATAGCCTTGCTCTGGCGTTCCATGGGACGTTCTTGTTGACTGCCGGAGAAAAGTAGGGTGTAGAGCTCAGTCAACTATGAGCAGTATTTCATCGCTGCAACCTGGAAGCAACATCAGTGCTTTTTTCAAATCCTGCATTTTGGAGAGAAAATCACATTCCTACGAAAAGCGTTTAATTCGCATTCATTTTCTATGTCAAGTAATTCATCTTTTACCTTTCCTTCGAGTGGTTTATTAGGACCACGCTAAAATTTCTATAAATCCTTTCATCATTATTTGAGCCAACTTGTCATGTGGTCTGGTAAGGGCTCTTGTATAGTCCGATACACGTGTTTCGCCTTCACAGACTCGTCAGCCGGGCAGAACCCGTCGCCTTTCGATATTTTTGAAGTCAGTTCTCTTGGAAGCTCTGCTCCCTTACAGAGAGTTATCGAGGACGAACGTTTTACACTCTATGTCAAGCTAAATTTTCACCTAACACAGAGTGTTTCGATTGCTTTATTAAGACCACGCTTAAATTTCAATGAATCCTTTCATTATTATTTGAGCCAACTTGTCATGTGGTCTGGTAAGGGCTCTTGTACAGCCCGATACACGTGTTTCGTCTTTACAGACTCGTCAGCCGGCAGAACCCGTCGTCTTTCGTTCGTCTCCGATAACTCTCTGTAAGGGAGCAGAGCTCCCGAGAGAACTGATTCAAAAATATCGAAAGACGACGAGTTCTGCCCGGCTGACGAGTCTGTAAAGACGAAGCACGTGTATCGGGCTGTACAAGAGCCCTTGCCAGACCACATGACAAGTTGACCAAGCAAAGTACTAAGTAGTCCGAAAACACAACGTAATTTTCCTTTCGTTGCTAGAAGTTGCATCAAAATCTCCTCATAACGAAGATCAGTACTGAAGTTAGCATTTCCCAAGCTATCGAATGATCACTAATAGTGTAGTGAAGAAGCTAAGTTTGGTAAGAAAAGTGGGAAACATGAACATATTGTTCTAAAGACAATTTCATTCAACACAATTTTGGATTCTTTTCCACTGGGCGGGGCAGATTTTCAAGCCTATCCTTTGCGCTAGACAAGAAGTTTTCATAAAGTCTTAGTGATTCATTCGAAAGCTCAAATCTGCAACTATCCGTGTACGTAGCTGGGTTTTGACATGACCCTTACATAACTTTAAAAAATTCAAAACAAAATTATGTTTTACAGGCGCATGTGTTTTTTGCCGGACAGAGCTCTTTCTTTACACTACTTGTGATCATTGGTAGCATAAAATTTACCGATTTCAACGCTATGCTTATATCTTGAAAGGACAGTTTCTATGCAATGCAGTAGGGAAAGCAATATTTACATGCGCCAGCAAGTGTTTTCTGACGTAAACATGAGCGGTGGGTGGGGGGTGAGGGTGGGGCACGGGTCGGGTCGGCGTGAAAATGGATAGATAGGGCCTAAGTTAGGAAACGTTTCTCTGCTTTGGAACAAACTGGAGATTAAACGTCTGATTTGATACTAGAAGATTTTCTCTGCATGATGATATGCTTTTCGTGCTTGCAGTAAAGCGATAGCTGCATTGCGGAGTCGATGTGAAACATAATTTTATTTTTGATTTTTCAGCATTGTAAAAGGCTCTTTTCAAAAAACCTGCCAAGCATAGGATACTTCGAGAATTGAGTTTTCGAATGATTACTAACACTTTTTATGAAAACTTCTTGTCGAGCGCAGGGGATAGGCACGAAAATCTGGTCCACCAAATGGAAATGAACCCTATTTTGTAATGGAAAGTGGATATATTTAGAAGAACTGTGGGTTCTTTCCACTAAAAATACGCTTCTGTAAGTCTCTCCAATAATAATCTGTTTTAGCAAAAAAGTCTGCTTAGGATTAGATTTCACTGCGTAATAGTAGAAAAAAATTTGCTGTGAAGTCAAAATATGCATTCCGAAATCAGAACTTTATCGTTTTTTCCGTTAGTAAAACGTAGTAAGAAAGTCGTTTCACAAACCAAGCTCAGATATCAAAATCGACATCTCCCAAGCTATCGAACGACGACAAAAACCTAGCCTGCAAAGAGGAACTATGAAGAAATGTTTAAAAACAGTGGGAAATTTGTTCGTTTCAGAAAGGATGTGGTTTTCTTAATGAAACATGGGAGACTTTTCGAAACACGGGCGTTCTTCATGGACGATGTCTCGACTTCAGCACGAGGCGCCGGTTTTGTATTGCTGTTGACAAAATCATACCTTGTATTCAGCTGATCTTCTGAAAATATCTCTTCATATTGTCACCAGAATCGGAAGCCTTATTGGCTCAGGGCAGAGCGTCTGTCTTGTAAACACAAGGTCGCTGGTTCGATTCCAGCATGAGGCATGGGTTTTGCATTACTATTTACGAAATCATACCTTCAATTCAGCTGACTTCTGAAAATATCTGCTCAGAATGCCAGTGGAGCCGGAAAAGTGGGCCGTGTTGGCTCAGGGGCAGAGCGTCTGTCTTGTAAACAGAAGGTCGCTGATTAGATTCCAACATGAGGCATAAGTTTTGCATTACTGTTCACGAAATTGCAACAATTCAGAACTTCGATTTTCTATAAACCGCGGCATAATTAATTGATATATGAAAATCGAGTAAACTTATCTTGATTAGCTGAATCGAGGTTGGTAAAGTAACCGTAATAGTTCGGCTGACGT